TAGGTTATAGGTGGGTTCCACAAATTCTTAGGTCAGTGCTTGGAAGGGAAAATCCCTGTCTTAGTTAAAGAAAGGCTTAATCTACATCAAGGAAAAGGGAAGTTCTGTGTCTTGGGAAGGCATAAGCAAAAGAATACACTAATGGTTGAAATATACATCTCAAAGATACTATGCCAGGGACAGGAGGTAGGAAGAATCCTGTTAATAGAAAGTAAATGGTCTGTTAATGTTTGTGGGCATGACTTCCCCAGTCCCCTTTTAAAAAGATTTTGGAAAAATAGGAAAAGTAGTCAGACTTCTGTCCACACTCACCACGTGTCCTCTGTGCTGGGGACAATGGATTTTCATCTGGACAAAGGATATGAGGGGTGCTGCGGGGCAAGGGGATGAACAGTCCAGGACAACTTCCCCGTGGCCCTCCGAATCCAGCCTCCCCTCTGTGCTGGGTGCTGGGCGCAGTGCTCTGGAATCAGGGCTGCACCAAAGCACTCAGCCTGGGGGTCCCCTACCGCAGTCTGGGATGGGAGAATGGAAGATGGTGAAGGCGGGACTTCATTCTCCCGCTCCCCTCCCTGCAGGACCCCTGCTCTGTCCTTGACTAGAGGTCACACTACTGTCAGGCACCTTCCCGCATAGCTCCCTCTGTCTCCGTTTCTGTAAGCGCTCCCTCGCCTCCCAGGCTGGGTGCTGACACCCTCCCTTAGTGGGGAGCTGCAGCCCTGTCAGTCACTTCTCAGGACCTGCCCACACCTTGGTAAACAGTCCCTTTATGGAACTCTTTAAATTTACCATCTGTTTCCCCACTGGACCCCTGGGACACACAGTATGTGCTTTAGTTAGGATTTGTTTTGACAGTGGGCACCAGGAAACCTGAAATAGCAATGGCTTATGCAAAAGTTTACCTCTTTCTCATGTAAATGAAATTGGTATTCAGCACCCCAGAGCTGCTCTGGTGACTCTGGGAACTTCAGATCACACACACACATTTTACATTTGTTTTTTTTGTGTGGGGGACACATTTTGCTATAAGGCATGTGCACTCACCAGAAAGACAGAGAGAGACAGAGAGAAATCACCCCCCAGAGGGGATGGCCACACCGCAATCCCTTCTCCTCCATTCTCCTCCTGGGATCCTGGGCACGCACGCACACACGCCCAGTGTGAGTTTTAAGCCACCGGGTCCGGGACGCGAACCATGGTTGACCACATGGGAGTCCAGCAACATAGCCATTACGCCATCTGCTGGTCCCCTTGGAGAGTTTTTTTTTTTTTTTCTTTTGCTACAGGGCCTGTGCACTTGCCAGAAAGATAGACAGATAGAGAGAAATCAACCCCCAGGGCGGATGGCCATGCCGCAATCCCTTCGCCTCCATTCTCTTCTCGGGATCTTGGGCACGCACACACATGCACCCGGAGTGAGCTTAAGCCATTGGGTCCTAGACTCAAACCAGAATTGACTACATGGGAGTCCAGAGTCCAACGACATTACACCAGCTGCTGGTCTTATTTTGCATTCTTTTTAAATTCACATCATGACCCAAACATTTTTTTTTCCAAGAATTATTTGATTAACTTTATTTATTTACTTATTTTAATTTGACCAGAGAGGGACAGAGCAAAAGAGAGAGAGAGTGAGAGAGAGAGGGAAAGTGATAAAGCAAGTCACCAGGTCCAGGATTTGAACTGTGATCAGCCACATGGGAGTTCAGCACCCTTAACCACCAGGCCACTTGCCAGCCACAAACCCAAAGTTTCCAATGTCATTAGAGCTCTTCAGAAAGAATCAAGACTTGGCTCATTTCCTTTTTCATTGTCATTTTTGCCATAGGGCATGTGTGCTCACCCAAGAGAGACAAAGAGAGAGTGAGAAAGACAATGAGAAATCATCTCCCAGGGGGATGGCCACGCCACAATTCCTTCTCCTCCTGGGATTTTGAGCAATATGCACACACGCCTGGTATGATTTTCAAGCCACCAGGTCTAGGACTCAAACTGCAGTCGGTCATGTGGGAGTCTAGTATCTTAATGACCATGCTACCTGCTGGCCCTACAAGTATTATCTTTTTTTTTTTAATAATTTTAAATTTAATTTATTATTATTCGAAATTGCTATAGGGCATGTGCACTTACCAGAGACAGAGAGAGAGAGACATGAGAAAAACGAGCCAACTGGGCCCAGGACTCAAACCACAGTGGGCCGTGTGAGAGTCCAGCACCCTTAACCGCCATGCCACCTGCCGGCCCCCCAAATATCGTCGTCTAAAGCACTTTCCTGACCTCTGCCTCCTCTAGGTTACGATCCCCCTGCCTGGGACCCCACTGTCTGGCTTCACACACGCGTTCATTCTGTCACAGCATCTGTTACTCTCCAAGTCCCTTTGCCCATCGCTCCCCTTAACCTTTACGAACCTTCCTCTCTCTCCCTCTCTCTTTAATTTGCCGTAGGGAACCTGCACACTCTAGAGAGAGACAGAGAGAGGGGGAAAGTGAGAAAGCACCCCGCAGGGAGGATGGCCATGCTACAATCCCTTCTCCATTCTTCTCTCAGGATTTTGGGCATGCATGCACACACGCTAGGCCTGCTTTTTTTTTTGAGAGATTTTTGCTATAGGGCACGTACACTTGCCAGACAGAGAGAGACAGAGAGACAGAAAGAGAAAAATCACCCCCCAGGGAGATGGCCATGCTGCAATCCCTTCTCCTCCGTTCTCCTCTCCGGATCTTGGGCAGGCACGCACAGGCCCCCAGCGTGAGTTTTAAGCCACCTGACAATGTGGATAGTAATGTCTTTGTCTTGACTGATATGCTTGGTATTCCTGCTTTTTGTAATACACTGTAAAGACATGTGATTCAATGTAATATGCACAAGATTATGATAATTAAAAAAAAAAGAGTAGCAATGGCACAGGGAAGGGGCCCAGCGGGCATCCAGACGGGACGCACCTGGTGCAGGCGCTCTGCCACCTTCCTGACCCTGGGAAGGTCCTGAACACTGCAAAGGGGAGGAAGGCTCTTCCCCACCAGCAATGTGGTAACTCAGGCCAGCCCAGCACCTCCGCACGCTGGAGGCGGTAGAGTCGTTAGGGACACCTGCCTCCCCCACCCCCTCCCGGCGGGGCCCCGCCGCCTCTGCCGCGGACACCTGGGCGCCGGCCGGGCCTGGGAACACGTGGAGCTCGCGGCCTCCAGGCAGCTCCGGGAGGCAAGGGGCGGGGCGGAGCCAGCGCCGGCCGCAGGGGCCTCGCTCAGGACCCGCTAAAGAGTGCAATCAACACCGTCATTACAGTCATCCGGACGGAAATGGGAAGAGGCTGGCACCAGAATAAAGAAATAATGGAGCCAGGGAGAAACAGACCCGCCTTTATAAAAGACATTAACGTGTAATAAAGGACGTTTCGCAAATAGCGGGGTCAGAAAGGATTATTCAACACAGAAGCCTGGGCTAACTGATTAGCTCCTTGAAGGGGAAGTATGTACTTTAGATGCACATCGCCATACACCAAAGCTAATTCCACCACTTCATTAAGGTGGGGTGGGGGCGAAGGGTGGGATTAAACCTCACTTCCACCCAAAAAGGCAATAGAAGATAGCACTCTTCTAGACAAAGGGGGTTTCCTAGGCTTAAAAGAGGAAAGTAAATTTCAGTAGGAAAGATGTGTTGTTTGTCCAAACAAAACGAAAAAACTATAGGCTTTTAAGTAATGAAGAGTCCATGAAGGGCCAGCCAGTGGGGTGGTGTTTGAAGCACTGGACCACATGGCTGACTGTGGTCCGAGTCCCAGACCTGGCAGCTTGCTTTCTCACTTTCCCTCCTGCTCTCTCTCTGGTGAGTTCACTTGCCCTAATAGCAAATTTAAAACAACAATAATAAAATAAAATAAAATTTTTGTTTGGAAACACGAGTCTGAACTGGGAGATGGCTCCAATCGCAATATGCAAAGAGAGCTCACCAGAGGCAGGAAAATGATCCCCTGAGGGAGTGGCCATGCCTCAACTCCTCCTCCATTCTCCTCCCAGGATTTTGAGTGCAAAACGGGCACCCCCCACCCCACCCCGTATGGTATTTTTTTTTTCCTTTTTCTTTTTTTGGAGAGTTTTTTTTGCTATAGGGCACATGCGCTCTCCAGAAAGACAGAGAGAGAGAGACAGAAAGTGAGAAATCACCCTTCTCCTCCATTCTTCTCTCTGGATTTTGGGCACACACATATATGCGCCCGGTGTGAGTTTAAGCCACCGTATCTGGGACTTGAACTGTAGTTGGCTACATGGGAGTCCAACGACATAGCCATTACACCAGCTGCTGGTCCTCTACTTTCCCTCTCTTGGTCTCATTCTGTCTCTCTCCAGTGAGCGTATACATCCTATGGCAAAAATCTAAAAACGAAGCGGAGGAGTTCGGTGCTGACCCTGTAGCCTCTCCCTCTTTCTCTCTCTCTGTCTCTCTCTGTCACCAATATCCTCTGGCAACTTGACAAAATAAGATAAAATAAACAAATAGGGGAGCTTGTAACAACATGGTGAGAAGTTACTGCGTATCCTGCTCCCTATAATAAGGTCAGCCATCGGAAACAGTTCCAGCCCTGGTTCTGCCACCTGCCGGCTGTGTGGCCTGGGCCGGTGCACTCAGTCCGAGCCTTAGCTGCCTCACCTGTGAACTGGAACCCATGGTGGAGAGTGGGCGAGTGGAGTGCCCTATGCCAAGCCCCTGACACGCTGCCTGAGGCTAGATCTGTGCCTGGTAGCTGCTGTCTAGGCCCCAGTGAGGGCAAAAGGCTTTGCTGACTATGATCTTCAGGTGGGAGGGACGGGGGCACCCTGAGTTCCCTGGCCTGTGAGCGAAGCCTGGGTTTGGGAGTCAGGGTGGGGGCAGGGCCCTCGCCCCGGGAAACGGCTCCGTGGTGGAGCAGCTGAGGTGCAGCTGGGCCTGTGGCCTGGGAGGCAGTCTTGTGGGTGCCTCCTCCCTCCGCACGCACCTCAGGTCTGCAGATGGGTCCTGCCTCCTCTTGGAGGGCCATGGCTGGGCCATGGCTGCTGCTTCTCCTGTCCTTTGGGTGTCCAGCCCTGCCCACAGGTGAGCTGCCTCTTTGCTTCTTTTCTGTCCCCCAGTAGTCTTCCCAAGCCCGTCCCCTGGCTCTGGGTCTCCCTGGGTATGGGTAGGGTGCAGGGAGGCAGGACTAGAGCCATTTAGGGCTCCCTGGGGTCAGTGTCAGCAGAAGCCTATTGTCCCCTTCCCATTTTGCTCTACCTCTGATCCACCTTGCTCGGGAGTCTACGGTCAGGCAGGGAAGGCAGTCCCTCCAGGAGGTGTAGAGAAGTAAGAGCAACCTGGATGGGCATCGCAGAAGTTGGGAGCCGAGGGAACCAGGGCCGTGTTATGTGACAGGAGTGAGGGGCCATGGGCAGCACCATGAGGTCCTGTCCTGTCCCACTTGCCTTCCAGGTGCCCTATTCCAACAGGGCTCGGGGTTCACTTCCAACTCTCAGTTATCAATGGGCAGCAAAAGGTCCCAAGGCCTCAGTGGATTCCCAGGTAAAGAAAGGGCCTCAGTCCTCCAAAGATCAGTTTATTTGTTTGTTTTTAATTTAACTCATTATTATTATTATCTAATTTGACCAGAGAGAGATAGAGAGAGAGGGAGAGCAAGCCACCAGGTCTGGGACTTAACTGTAAGTCAGCCATATGAGAGTCCAGCATCTTAACCACCATACCACCTGCCGGCCCCTACAGATCAGGATTTTATTGTTTAATAAGAATTATTTAACTTTATTTATTATTTTTATTATTAGTTTTAATTTAACCAAAGAAAGAGAGAGAGAGAGAGAGACAGTAAGCAAGCTGCCAGGTCTGAGACTTGAACCACAGTCAGCCATGTGGGAGCCCAGCATCTTTAACCACCTTGCCTCTTGCTGGTGCATCCTAAAGATTAGGTTTTAAGGGCAGGTTTTTACTTCATCTAGAGGATGTGCATGTTCACATGTGTGTAGTGAGGACGGTCCTTGACCTTTGAGGAATGGCATTGATTTAAAGTTGGCCCCCAATATGTCATGGGAGATCAACCACAGCCATGTGGACAGGGAGAGACCATGGCAGGAGGCCTGAGCTCTGGGAAGGAAGCAGCCAGAGTAAGAACAATCTAGGGTGCTTCATGGAGGAGGCGGGAGCTGAATTCAACTAGAGGGGTGTGTCAGTGTGCACTGACAAGGCTCCGGAGGGTGAGGATCTTGGAGCTCACGCTCAGCCCTCTCTGTTCCCTTGTTTGCGATGCCCTATTATTAATGTTAATATCAGTAGTAATACCAATACTTGTCTGCCAGGGCATTTTACATTTATAATCTTTATCCTCACAACATTCATCTTACTAGTCTGGTGTTACTGACCCTATTACATTGATGGGAAAATTGAGACTCAGTAATATAAGTCACACTGTGATCCCCTTTCTCCAGTCCTCCAGCCTGTCATTAAGTCTTGGGCACTTACACACATGCCTGGCAAATTTCAGGCTGATAGGGCAAGGGATTAGAACTGTAGTTGCCATGTGGGACCCAGCTTCTCTCCTTTTTTTTTTTTTTTACGAAAAAAATTCAGTTTAATTAATTTTATTTGTTGTCATTATTTTTCAATTTAACCAGTGACAGAGAGAGAGAAAGGGAAAGTAAGAAAGCAAGCCACCAGGTCCGAGACTTGAACTTTGGTCGGCCATGTGGGAGTCCAGCACCTCAACCACCACAACACTTGCCAGCCCCCCCTTTTATATTTGAGAGATTTTTGCCGTAGGACACTTGCACTTGCCAGAGAGATGTAGAGACACAAAGAGATGGAAAGCAAGAAATCACTCCCTAGGAGGATGGCCACACCGCAATCCCTTTCCTCCATTATCCTCTTGAGATCTTAGGCATGCACACACATGTACCTGGTAAGAGTTTCAAGGCACCGGGTCCAGGACTCTAACCACAAGCCACCAGGTCCAAGACTCAAACCTTGGTTGGCCATGTGGGAGTCCAACACCTTTAACAACCATGCCAACTTCTGTCCTCTCCCCCCCTTTTTTAAGAGAGATTTTTTGCTACAGGAAGCATGCACTCACCAGAGGGACAGAAAGAGACAGAGAGAGAGAAAGTGAGAAGTCACCCCCCAGGGGGGATGGCCATGTCGCAATCCCTTCTCCTCCATTCTCCTCTTGGGATCTTGGGCATGCACACACGTATGCCCAGTGTGAGTTTTATTTATTTATTTAAAGGATTATTTTATTTTGTCTTTATTTATTTATTTTATTTTAATTTGACCAGAGAGGAACAAACAGAGAGAGAAAGCAAGAAAGCAAGCCACCAGGCCTGGGACTCGAACAGTGGTCAGCTGTGTGGGACTCCAGCACCCTTAACCACCATGTTACTTGCCGACCCACCAGCGTAAGTTTTAAACTGCTGGGTCTGGGACTCAAACTGTGGTTCAATTATGTAGGAGTCCAGCAACATAACCGTTATGTCATCTGCAGGTCTTTGTACTTTTTAAAAAGGATAATTTAAAGAAGACATTAAAATTTTTAAAAAAATTTTTATGTTTTATTATCCTTATTATTCTTTCATTTGACCAGAGAGAGAGACACAGAGAGATAGAGAGGGAAAGTGAGAAAGCAAGCCACTGGGTCCAGGACTTGAACCACGGTTTGCCATGTGGGAGTCTAGAACCTTAACCACCGTGCAACCTGCCACCCCTAAAGAGGACATTTTCAACAATCTCCCTTCCCACTCATCCCAAGGAATTCTCTAAGTTGATTATTATTATTATTATTATTATTTTATTTTTGCTTGCTATAGGACACGTCCACTAGCCAGAGACAAAGGCAGAGGAGTAAGAACCCCCCGCAGGAGGGATGACCACATTGCTACCCCTTCTCCATTTTCCCCTTGGGATTTTGAGCACACGTGTACACATGCTGGGGATGTTTCCCAAGCAGCAGGTCCAGGATTCGAACTCTGTAGCCTGACATGTGGGATCCAGCCACCTTAACTTCCATACCACAAGCTAGCCCTAGACGTGTACTTTATTTATTTAGAATTATTTTATTGAGTTTACTTATTATTATTACTTTTTAATTTGACGAGAGAGAGATTGAGAAAAAGAGAGAAAGCAAGCTGTCAGATCCGGTACTCAAGCCGTGGTCAACCATGTGGAAGTTCAGTGCCTCAACCACCACGCCGACTGCCAGCCCCCTAGACTTTTACTTTAAATGGGTGCATTGTATGGTATGTGAATTATATCTAAACAAAGCGCTAGGGGAAAAAAAAAAACGTATAGGGCTAGCAGGTAGCGTTGTGGTTAAAGTGCACGTTTTCCCCGTGGCCCACCGCAGTCCAAGTCCCAGACCTGGCAGATTGAAAATCTTGCTGAGTGCATGTGCATGCATGCCAAAAATCTTGAAAGGAAAATGGAGAAGAAGGGATTGTGGCATGGCCACAACGGGGGAGTGATTTCTCACTTTCCATCTCTCTGTCTCTCTCTGGTGAGCATACACACTATGTCAAAAGCCTTAAAAAACAAACAAGCAGGGACCAGTAGTTAGCGTAATGGCTATGTCACTGGACTCCCACATAGTTGACCACAGTTCGAGTCCCGGACCCGGTGGCTTAAACTTACTCCAGGCGCGTGTGCGTGTGTACCCAAGATCCCGAGAGGAGAATGGAGGAGAAGGGATTCTGGGGGGTGATTTCTCGCTTTCTGTCTCTCTGTCTCTCTCTGTCTGGTGAGCGCATGTACCCTATAGCAAAAACCTCTCCAAAACAAAAACAAAAACAAACAAGCAAACAAAAACCCTAAAGCACTACAGAAAAGAACTAACAATAATAACAAACATCCACAACAAATGCCCGTTCCACTACATTAATAAAATGTTCACATTAGGGACCAGCACATGACGTAATGGTTATGTCACTGGACTCCCACATAGTCACATAAATCAAGTCCCTGACCTGGTGGCTTTAAAACTTACACTGGGGGGCTGGCAGGTGGCTTGGTGGTTGGGGGCACTGGACTCCCATGTGGCTGACTGTGGTTCGAGTGCCAGACCTGGTGGCTTTCTCTCTCTCCTCTCTCTCTCTCTCCCTGTTCCTCTCTGGTCAAATTAAAATAAATAAATAAAGTTAAATAAAATAATTATTAAAAAAAAAACCCTCACAC